TCAGCAAGAGATGGACAGACCACAAGGTCAGGCAGATGCCAGAAGGATTTAGCCTTCTGTGTGAGACGGGGACATCAGTAGAAGGCTTTGTACACAGAATATACTCCCATCAGAGACCAAGTCACTAGGCTGTGAAAGTAATATACTACTAACTTGTTACTGTGGTGGGATTCAAAACAAGTACAACCATGTATTTAATAGCCACGGATAAGATGATGATTTTAAAAACATAAGATGATAGGGGTATGGCCTAGCATGGTAATAGTTACATTTCTATGTTTATGGAAATCTAATGTTTATATTTTATTCTAATATTTATTTTATATTTTAATATTTATGTTTCCATATAAAATGCGTCATATTTATTTCACATAAATATAAAACATTTCTTTCATATACTAGAATACATAAATTCATATAGATATGTAAATATCTAAAATATATAAATATAAAATTATATTTATATAAAAGTAAGATTCTAGATTTAAAAATAATACTTATATTGATATTTTTACATAAATATAACAATATAAGGTGACAAGGGTGTGACCTAGCATGGTAACTTTATGGTAATAAGGGAACAGTGTGTGAACAGGGCCAGAGAGGATTACCACATATATTACTGTCTGCATCTTCCTCCTCTAAGGAGAAGGTTTCCTGGATCATCTCTTGTTCTCTACCAGGTCTTCATTAGGAAGCAAAGTAAACAATTCTTGGATGGACTCAAGTACTGTCATCTAAATGTCATGTTTTGAGTGGTCGCCAATCTTGTTTAGGAAAGCACTCTGGTCATATTTTAGGAAAAATATAAACCTGGCTTAATAGAGATCCTGAAGGTTCTGATTCTGCCCAAGCTTTCTCTTACCCTCTGCCATTATTTTCTGCATACAAAAGCACAATTATAAATTACAATTTACTCTGGTAAATAAAGCAATTGACTTATTTTTTTTCTGATTTGTGCCTCCCACCCTGTAAATCATGTTAGTTGTTAGATGAATACATTTTTAAATTGTATTTCTCTTTAAGTCATTGTGAACAGGGTTATCATTCCATGTGTCAGTTGATGAGTATAATGTATCTTGATCGAGGTCATCCCTTCCATTGTTCTCCCCATCTTTCCTAGCTCCACCAACCTCTTCTCTGGTTTCATATGTTATACATTGAGTATTACAACTGTATTCTATCCCTTCCTCACTCCATCCAGCTACCCCTCCTTCCCTTGAACCCCTCATTTCACAATACCACTTTCCTGGCGTTCATTTGATTAGACTTTATGTTAGTCTTTCTAAGAAATTATACCATTTGAATGCTCCCCTGAAAATACCGTAGTGTGGTTACTACGTCTCTGTACACATGCATACAACACTGTATGTGGTTACTTGTGTATTTATAAATTAGATCTAGCATCTGTATATGAGAGAAAACATGTGTGTTTTGTCTCTCTGGACCTGACATCTGCACTCAACCTGTTTTTGCAGATACATTGATTTTGCAAATAATGCAAGATCGTTCTTCAGATGGATCAGTAAAATTCCATTAAATATATACATATATATAATGGATATATAGATAGCTATATACATACATGCGTATATATCACATTTTCTTGATCCAAGAATAAATAAAAGCTGAATGGATGGATGGATGGGTTATGGGAGACAGGGCTTATTATCTGTTTTTGTGCTACCATTGTGGATTAAACTCAAGGCATGACACTCTGGCTCAGCTTTTGTACTCCTAGCTGACACTCTGCTCCTTCATCCACACCTCCAGTTCCAATTTATGCTCTTTATTTTTGAGATGATAGCTCAGGTGGTAAAGTGCTAGCTGTGAGCAGTAAAACTTAGCAAGTGCAAATCTCTGACTTTAAATCCCAGAAATGGCCAAAAGAGATATTTATGACTGTAGTATTCATAGCTTTGTGAGATCTGGCTTCAGCTTCATTTCCCATCACTTCCTTGAAGTCTTTTGCCCAGCCTTTATTTATGTCTTTTCTCTGAATCACAAAATGTTATAGTAGGCCATCCTTGTGCATACCTTTGTGTTTTTGCACATGTCATATTCTTTTCAATAAGTTTCTTTGCTGTATCCTGCATACCCTTTCACTTTCTATGATAACCTCAATCATAATGCTTCCCCATTCTGTGTTCTGTATTGACACAAGAGCTTAACTTGGTTCAGATTGTGTGTGTGTGTGTACATGTGCTTTATTCCTCCTAGACAGAACACTCATCCAAGTGTGTGCCCTTCAGCAAACGCTTACCCATCTCTTGTTTTCAGGACGCCCAGCTAAGCAATAAAGAGGTTAGAGCTACACGATAAGTGTCCTTGAAGCATTAATCTCTTACAAAAATTCCCAGATGCCATAGATAAAAGCTCCATTCTGAAATCAGCCTGCAATCGCCCACCAATATGACCTTTATTCTTAAAGCATAAATGAGGTTTCATCATACAGAGAACCAGACATAAGAGAAGTGTATTTCACAGAGAAACCTGCTTCTTGTGTTGGATTCTGAAAAGATTCCATGAGGGTTTAATAAAGAAAATTGTGTTCCCTCCATCCACTTGCATTATTATTTCCAAGATACTGCCTCTTATGAGTAATGTCAAGGGGAAATTACTTTATGTCTATCTAGTAGTCTTTGAAGCATGTGGAGAATAAGACCACAACAGATAGATTATAAAGGCAGGATACAAAAGTAGTGATTTCTGATTATGAATTGAGTCATAATAACTTTGTTATCTGCCTTTCCAGCCACTTCTTGCCCATCCCACCTAAGCACAGAGCAGAGAGGACAAAGCAGATGTGTATGAGGGCAGGGTACTTTATGGACCAATTGTGCTGTGCTCTTCCATTGTTTTTTTAGATGCTACTGCTCTCTGACCTCCTGTTACACTGACTTACTTGTTTTTAACTTCCCTTTATCCTTTAACTTTATTTTGATTTTTAAAACACCTTCAAGCATCTTCTGCAACAGAAAACATCCCGATGGTATCCAAGCTAATATACTCAACCTACTGCTGTGCATTGAGACATTGCTGAATTTATAAACGTTACATTTCCCCTCCTAGAATAGTAATCCCTGCTCTCACAGGGATTATGGCTCATGTGAGTATAGATATTTCTTCTCAGTATTTTCTCACAACTACCTTAGGCATAGGAAATAGTCAGTGATAATCATAGATAATTAAAGCATCTTGAACACAGCTAAAAGATTCTCAAGGAGCTGAAGAGAGAGTTACATTCCCATGAATTGCAGATAGCTGTTCTAGCAAGAACTTTGCATTTGCCCTGCAGTCTTCTAGGCTGTATGCCTCTGAGCAAATCACTTTAACTGTGGATCCTTGTATCTGAAATAGGAATGATAAGTATGCTTGAAATGTGTTCCTCACAGAGTCACCATGGGGAGCAAATTGAGTAAATAGCACACCTTTAGTTCCAGGCAAGGAAGATCTCCATATCATAAATGTTAGGAGCAGATCTGAAAGCGATTAGTGAATATGAATGTACTGTAGAAGATGTAACATGCTGTGAACATCTCATGGGTGGTTAGCAATGATCATTGTAATATTAGTTATTGCACATTGAAAGTCCTCTGTCCTAGACACATGGATATCTGTAATCTGATTTTGACAATGAATATCTCCTGGTACATCACATATATCAACCAGACAGTAGCACTGTTAGTGGAAGTGGAAGTGTGACTCAAGTGGCACAGCACCAGCCTTGAGTGGAAAAAGCTAATCAAGTGTATGAAGTTCAGCCGGTTGCCAGTGGCTCACGCCTGTTATCCTAGCTACTCCGAAGGCTGAGATCTGAGGATCATGGTTCAAAGCTAGCCTTGGCAGGAAAGTCTGTGAGACCCTTATCTCCAATAAGCCACTCAGAAAACAGCAAGTGGTGCTGTGGCTCAAGTAGTAGAGCACTTGCCTTGAGCTGAAGAGCTGAGGGACAGTGCCCAGGCCCAGAGTTCAAGCCCTATGGCCGACAAAAAAGAGTATGAAGTTCAAGGCCAGGACTGTCACACTGCCTAAGAGTGCAGCAGTGGTTTTTGCAGTATTTAGCTGTTAAGAAAATGGTGATGCTGCACACGGGACTCCTAAGAAGCCTTTATGTGTTTATTGCCTCAACATGAAGTGCGACATAGTCTACCTGATATTCTGTCACAGTACAATTTCTGATCTCTATTAATTACTTGGGTCCTAAAAAGGTTCAAGGTGTGGCAAATCATGTCCTTTCCAGATTTCTGTTGATGAATCCATGCCTAATCTTTCCTACTTGTTGCTTATATATAGAATGTAGGAGTTCTTCAGATTTGATCTTTGAGGTTGCTGGTACCCTGCATTTCCTTTGTGATTTGTAGTGGTTAGGTAGCTGAGAGAATGGGGAGAGAGACAGAAAAAGACAGAGAGAGACAGAGACAGAGACACAGAGAGACACAGAGGGAGACAGAGAAAGAATTTTCTCCAAAAGACAGCTCTTTCAACAAAGCTGTAGCTGTAGTTTCTGTGAGGAGCAGAGTCATCTTTTGTGTTTGTTCATTATCAAGGTAAAGATACTCATCCTACATATCTCTCCCTCTTCGGTTTAGTCCTTAAATTGGTTAACTCACATAATAGCCTGCTGAGAAGAATACTTTCAGAATTAATTAAACCGTGATCAGGAGTGAATGAGTCAGAACCTGGTGCTTCCAGGCTTCCTGGAGGGTGGCTAAGAAGTACCATTAGTCTACATAAATTATATTTGCTTTTTGAAAAATGGTAAGGTGGAGTTCATATCTGATTTGAAAGTATGATTGCTGAATGTTTCTTTCAAAGGTTGTCCAGTTCATTTTACCCTTTCTTTGTGTTCATAGAGACTTGACTCACAATAAAATAAATCAAACAAGATTTCATGTTATTCTTAGGATAACTCTATTGCTGCTGAGTCAGAACTGACCCTCCTGTTCAATAACACTTTCTTTTGGCTTAATTTTACTTTCTACTCTCCTTTCTTCTAGGTTGACAATACATGCCGAGTGTCCAATGCATTTGGAGGATTTTCCCATGGATGTGCATGCCTGCCCACTGAAGTTTGGAAGCTGTATGTATATTTTCCAGTATTGTTTGATGATCCCCCAAAACAACAGATATATATATATATATATATATATATATATATATATATACTGTATATACGATTATATAACATATATATAATTTATACATATAAATATATATAGATATAGATTCCCAGAGGTTTCTAAAGTTGCAAGCTTTAATCTCAGCTAGTATAATAGTGAGGCAGAGGAATGAGAGGGAAACTTACCCTTTAGTTGAGTTATTTTTCTAAGCAGAAAACTTATTTCGTGGTTTCAGATTAATTTCTCTTTCATTAAATTTCTCTGTCATTAGTCTGATGAGGATAGAAAAAGATGAACTGGTAGACTGTACCATATGAATTTCTTAAGGACATATCTCTTAAAGAGAATAAGTTTACATTTTTGAGCTGTCCATCTTACATAAATCTTTTTTTGGGGGGGGGTCCGGTTGTGGGGCCTGAACTTTGGGACTGGGCGCTGTCCCTCAGCTCTTCAGCTCAAGGCTAGTGCTCTACCACTTGAGCCACAGCACCACTTCCAGCTTTTTTCTTTTTGCTTATGTGGTGCTGAGGAATCGAACCCAGGGCCTTGAGCGTGCAAGGCAAGCACTCTACCACTGAGCCACCTTCCCAGCCCCAATAAATCTTAACATACTTCTCAACAGTAGGTGGTAGACAGAACGAGAGTCTAGATTTGCACATTTTTAGAGCATTGTTTTTCCCAATTGCTGAGAGAAGAGAGTAGATTTGTAGTCCATCTTCAAATGACTTTAGAAAAATCAGAATTGAGTAGAATTTGAGAGTTTATGACGATAAGAAGTTCATAATAGGTTATATAGTGAGTCACTCATAAGAGAAGTGTATCAAGATCTATGTTGATAACATCTTTAGGTTTAAGTTTGTACTTTGAAACAGAACGTACACTTGAAAAGTTTCAAATAATTATGTGAGGTATATTTATTTAATAGTTTGTCAGATATTTACAAACCATCTCGACTGTGCCAACTCCTACAGCAGTAGCTTGGAATACACCATCAATAAAACAAAATTTTTTTGCACCTGATGGGCTTTTATTGTACAGAAGAAAGCAGTGGTGAAAGACAAAATGAAAAATAAAGTATAGATTATAAAGTGAGAAGTACATTGGGAAAGGAATAAAATACTGAGGAAAAAGAAGAATCTGTGGGTTGGGAATGTTAGTTAGTGGTAGAGTGCTTGCCTAGAATGCATGAGGCTCTAGGCTCAATTCCTTGGTACCACATAAAAAATCAATCAATCAATCAATCAATCAATATTTTTAAAAAGAATAAGTCATGCATGGTCAGAGGCTATACATTGCCATTAGAATTGAAAAAATGGAAGGACGAAGGATACCCTATTTATTAGAAAAGAGATAGGGATGAGTATCATAGGGAGATAGGTACATAACATTACCAAAATATAGTTAGATAAGAATGCATTTTTGTGCTGTTGCATACTAGTGTGACTATAGTTAATACATTAAAGATAATTGCAACCGAAAATTGATATCTACAAAGAAGAAAATATCTTATTGAAAATATCTTATGAAAAAGATAATATCTAAATTTTATATTTCACAGATAATAACAAGAAAGAGGCAGGATTAGCTACCTGAATAGGTAAATAGATAATAGCATAACTGAAGCACAGGAGACAAAATACAGAAAAGAGTAAGAAACAGGTGGAACACATGAGAAGAGATTATCATGGGTAATTTTGCAGGAGAACAGGCTGTGAATGGAGGTAAAGCTATCATTAGCAAAGTAAGGGCAGTCCTTTTGAAAGTAAGTAATGAAAATTATTAATCCAAAGCCACATGAAAAACACAAATACCAAACAGGATAAATACAAAGCAAACAATGCTCATTCTACAGTATGGAAATATTAAGGTACCGTCTTGAAGAATAATAAAGCTAGAAAATTAACAAGCAAATCATATCCATTATCAGTTATCCACACTGATTTTGAAAGCTATAGTAATTCAGGCAAGATAATATTGTGGTATAATGTTGGACTTAACTGAAGGGAGGAAGAGAGAGAAAGGGATAGAAGAAGAGAGGGGGAGAGAAATAGAAAGATTGCTTATATCACACACAAAAAATAAATTCTACATCGAAACAATAAAACTTTTACAAGAAAATATAAAACGTATCTTCACAGTCTTAGAAGAGGTAGAGATCACTTGATCAGATTATAGAATATCACTAACCACAATGTTAAAAAAAAGAAAAGTTCTAGTATTATCTATAAAACCTCTTAAAAATTCAGAAGAACTACTCAGAAAACATAACAGAAAAAGGGCTACAGTCTTAAAGATATAATGTATAAAATAGTTTCCTAACCCTATGTGTGTTTGTTTGTGTTTATATCTTTCTGTCTTTCTCTCTCTCATGCAATCACTGCAAACACATCGCTGACTGATTACAATAGTAAACAAATGCAAATTAAAATACAAAGTGTACCATTAGAACACACCAAAATGCAAACTATAGAAAATGTTCATAAAGACTACAGATTTGTACAAAATTGGGGGGGGGAGGAATTGTTTGTTGCCACCTATGAATAGTGAACATATGCATGACGTATGTTTATCTTCTAACTACAGTCTTGAGTATATACTCAAATGTAAGTGTTTATTATTTACCAAAACACAAATGATGTCTTTTGCAGAGCAAGCTGTCATAGGCCTATACTGAAACTACCCAAATGGTAGGACAGTTTAAAAATGTGTGACATGTTCCCACAATTAAATTTCATACCACAGTGACAATAATACTCAGCAACTACCAGAACGAGATCACACTGATGATGCTGAGCAAAAGCCAGATATCTAAGTATATATAGAACGTGATTCAACTTCTCTCACATGTGAAAGCAGGCAAAATTAACCTGTGGTGTTAGAAGTCTACTAATTTATGCATCAGAGCAATTGGTCCTGAAATTCTCCATATATTAAATTACAGAATTTATAAATAAGGCGTTGAGATTCCCAGGTATTATTATCTTTTCTAAATTTCCAAAGATTGTACAAGAGGTTAAAATTTCACATGTCCATCTACATGTCCAGTACTTCTTAATCAGTTACCCCTTCCATCATTTTCTCCATGCTGTGTGTTTGTTTTCCCTGGACTCATTTTACATTTCCCACTTCCTTTACCACACAGGGACATTGAGTATGCTAGCTATATTCCTCCTCTGTTACCTTTCATTCATTTATCTCCTTCCACTCCCTTGCTCCCTTGTCAAACTTGTTTTTGGCTTCTTGATACTGTATTCATTTTGTTACACTATAAATTGTTTGAAAGGCTTAATCCATGGAGATTCACTTCTGCAATACACAGGTCACAGATCAAAATTAGAAGTGTAAACATTTTATTTTACTTCCAAAACCTGTTACTACTTTGAAGGATATTCTTAGGGTTTATATATGACATACTGTATGGACATAGTCTATGTATAATTCCATTTTATATTATGCATAGACTTATTCATATAGATCTTCCAAAAATGATTTATCATTAGAACATAAGGGTAAATCAGCACAAACTTACTTTAAGCAAAATGAACTGCTGTGATTGTCACCAGTTAAATCTCACGTATTCTCTTCTTTTGATACCTGAACATTTCTAAACTTTTGACCCAGTATGACAATTTTTCTGCTATTGCTGTCAGCTTGACATCATTAGATTCCTTTAAATTACTAACATCTATCTATCTATCTGCCTATCTATTTATCTATCTATCTATTGCCAAAATTTAATTCTTGTAAGCCAAATAACATGTTTTTATTCCTTTTGCTTATTTTGCAATTACTTTTCTCAAGACTTGCTGCTTAAGAATATATTGTAAATGTAAATTTCCCAATGTAATATCAGGGAGGAATTTATGCATAAAATTCCCATAAGGAATTCAGTCAAGAATACAATGTATATTTTATAAAACTAAGAAGCATAACAGAAGGGATGGGTATGAATGTTGAAAGGGGTAGCATTGATCAAAGATGCATTGCATTCACCAACTGTTTTGTTAAATGGCAACTCCTTTTTACAATTACTTGATGATGATGATGATGATGATGATAACGAAATGCTACTTACGGTGTGGTTACCATTGGGAAAATATGGTTATTGGAGTTGGTTACATGGAGTGTAAGAGTGATGTTCAAAAAGAGACCTACGCTGGATATTTAATGTAACTAGCCTTTGTATAGATGGTATTTAAAGCCATAAGCCTGGATGAGATCACAAAGGAAATGACTGTACATGTAGAAGAGGACCAGAGAGGCTACAGAAAAGAGAAAAATTCAATAAATGGAAGGATAAGGCAGGTGAATTTAAGGGAACACTGTCTCAGAAACCAAATTTAGTACACCAAGAAAAACACAATCGAAATAATTTTGTGGACAGTTAATGTGAACCTTAAAATATCCAACAAGAAGTAATTCTGATGCTGTTGTAGGACATCTGAAAATTTACTCCTGTATAAAAATAATGAGATGGTTTCCAAAAATTGTCACAATAAACTTGTTTAAAGCTCTGGACACCAACCACAGAATCAAAACAATCTGAGGCCTACCATTCAAGGAAGTAAAACTGCACAGTCTTTTACACATGCTCCTTTTCTTCATTCTGTGGAAGCTTTGAATGTTTGTAATGATTAAGAGTAAATCTTGGGGCTGGGAAGGTGGCTCAGTGGTACAGTGCTTGCCTTGCATGCATGAAGCCCTGGGTTCAATTCCTTAACACCACATAAGCAGAAAAAACCAGAAGTGTTGTTGTGACTTAAGTGGTAGAGCTTGAGCCGAAGAGCTGAGGGACAGTGCCTAGGCCCAGAGTTCAATCCCCATGACCGACAATAAAAAGAATTAATCTTTCAAGAAAGTATGACAATTAAGAAGTTATATTTACCTTAATAGGGGTCCCCAAACCTGTGAAGGAAGAATGATATAACCAAAACAAGAAAGAGGAGAAGAGGGGAAGTATGCAGTCAAGAATCCAGTGTGTATCCTACAAAATTAAGACAAGTGAGGCAAGGCATAGGCTTAGGAGAGATGAGTGAGAATGTTGGAAAGAGTGATATTGATCAAGATGTAGTCTATTCATAAACTGTAGTCTATTCATAAATGACCACTCCTTTGTACAACTACTGAAAGATATTTTGTAGCAAAAGAAAAGAAACAAGCAAGTCAACAATTGTAATTTCAATATTCTACTTTCTATAATGGATGCTAGAACTAGGTGGACAATCAACACTGAAAAAGAAGACTTGATCAACTCTATGAAGTAATTAAAGCTAACAGACACCCATACAGCACTCCACCCAATGACATCAGAGTGAACATTATTCTCAAGGTCATATAGAACATTTTCTGTATGGATCATGTATTAGTCTTAATTGTCTTTGACTCTATATTCATTAAGTGTGAGTCAACTAATCTGGTAAAAATGTAACCCATTGCTGACAATATAAAATCAAAGATAATGCTTACAGGTGGATGCTATTGTAGCTGAATTATGCTTACTTCAGATTTTCCTGAGGTTTATCATATACCAAGGCCCAGGAAATGGAGTCATTTGACAACACAACTAAAGACAAGGACATATTTGTAGCTTTATTGTATAGTATCTATTCAAGGAGCTTTTACTGGATGGATGGATGGATAGATGGATGGATGGTTGGATAGAACACTTCAGTTAAATATAGATGTGAACCCAGAACTCTTTGGGAATTAGAAGTTGTATTTAAATTTCATTCAAGTTTGGTATCATGGGTGATCAACCTTCCTTCTTGACTTTTCTCTACCTTAGATGCCTATACAACAGCTGAAGTGCTTTACTCTTGGACTCTTGGAAAGAATAAGTCTGTGGAAGTGGCACAGGATGGCTCTCGCCTGAATCAGTATGACCTGTTGGGCCACGTTGTTGGGACAGAGATAATCCGGTCCAGTACAGGTATTTATTGACTTTATTTATCAAACATTTATGGAACCTCTACTCCATGCCAATCACTGCTCTGAGTGTTTGTAACTTATTTAATCTGCAAAACATGGTTTGTGACAAATGATTATTCTAATGAGGAAAGGGAGACATACAGAAGGACATTGATATGGTCCTCCAGCCCATCGTAGTTCTGCAATTATAGAGGCAAAATACGAACTCAGGAAGATTAGCTCCGAGTCCCTCTTAACTAGTGTCCTGCTGCCTCCTGAAGAATGAGGAAGAAGGTCAAGGGGGGAAAACAGAGAGGCCACAGTGGTAGGAAAGCTCAGCTTTGATCATAAAGGTTTCATTCCTTAGTTCCTCCAGAGTTGAATGTAGCAAATTAATGACTCCAGTAGAGTCAAACAGCTAGGAGGTCAAGAGAATAGTTGTGGAATTATTTTCCTAAATACATCACTTACCGCAGGACAAACATCATTGGGCAAAACTCCAGGTTTTCTGGGGGTTACAGTTACATGAGTAAGGTAATGAGTACATTTCCTATCGAGCATTGTTACCCCCTCCTTTGTTTTTCCCCTACTATCCCTTCCCTCCCCACCTCCTCAACTCCTCCCCCCACCCAAGTTGTAAAGTTCGTTTTCAACATAGTGTCTTGTACATCTACAAAACTGCAGGTTTTCTTAATAAGCAATTCTTGGATAGTGAACGAATGGAATTAGAAACAAATGAAGTAAAACAAATGGACTGGAAACTATGTTCTGTAGCCCTAAGTTTTGTCTACTTACTAACTACCAGTTCCAGGAGCCTGAGGAAAGAAGTACCTTGAAATCTCAACTAAGTGTGATGCACATTTGGCAAAAATGGAATACACACTTAGTTGGCTATTGTTGGAAACTTATTTTCAGGCATCACTCGTTTCTGTGAATTCACAATTAGAAATAAAATAGGACACTCTAATTTTTTGTTTCATTCTTTCGACATTGGTTGTTATTTCAGAACGTCACTACCTATTGTCTTGTCTGCCCTGTGCTCCTCGACTCCAGGACCAAAGGGTGTAGCTTAAAAAGGTAGTATTTGGCAGACAAAAAGGATTTCAAAATCTGGAATTAGATAAGGTAAAAGACTCCTCTTGTCAAAGACCAGGTGTGAGAGAGAACATGACCCAAAATGGCACAGTGTAATAGCACAGCCAGAGAGGGCTTGGCCACGGCTCAATTCACTTGTGTCCCTTTCACATGCACAAACTGCCATCCACTTTTGAGATGACTCATGAGTTGTCCAAGCAGCCCTAGACCCCGCTTCCTTTGGTTAAACCACGATTCCAGCTTTTGTAAGGGTAAATGCACATTCATAACAAGAAAATTAAAAGGACACATAGAGCTCAATATTGCAAATTCAAATACGGTCAACCCTCTGTATCTGTGAGCTCTGTAGTCACAAATTTTCTTGTAGCTTAAAAATAGTAAGTTTTGCTGGATGCTGGTGGCTCACACCTATAATCCTAACTACTCTGGAGGCAAAGATCTGAGAATCGCGGTTCAAAGTCACACTGGTCAGGAAAGTCTGTGAGACTCTTATCTCCAATTAACCACTAGAAAACCACAAGTGGCACTGTGGGTCAATTGGTAGAGCGCTAGCCTTGAGCTGAAGAGTGCAGGCACAGTGCCCAAGCCGAGTTCAAACCCCACAACTGACCAAAAATAAAAAAGTAGGGCTGCGAAGGTAGCTCAGTAGTAGAGCGCTTACCTTTCATGCCTAAGGCTCTGGGTTCGATTCCTCAGCACCACATAAGCAAAAAGGAAAAAAAAGCCGGAAGTGGCACTGTGGCTCAAGTGGTAGAGCGCTTGCCTTGAGCTGAAGAGCTGAGGGACAGCGCCCAGGCCCAGAGTTCAAGCCCCACGACCGACCAAAAATAAATAAATAAATAAAATAAAAAAGTAAGCTTTATCTCTATTGACCATATAAAGACACTTTTGTCACTTTTCTAAACAATATTGCATGAGAATATTTACACAACACTACATTATAAATTATAATATATTGTTATATGTTATAATATTATTATTATAAATAATGTAGTATTATTATAAATAATGTAGTAATTATTTAAAATATAGGGAAGATGTGCATAGATTCTCTGCAAATATTGCACAATTTTACCCATGGGATCTGAGTATCCACACTTTCTAAAATGTTTTTCTTAGGATTTCAGTGTATTAACTAATTGTTGTACTGTTTGGTATGTAAGAAGATTCCTTTTGCATTTTGTATAAGTATTTTATATAAATGCAGCCATACCATCAATACAGTTTTTTGTTTTCTTGTCTTTTTTTTCTTTTCTTTTTTTTTCTTTTTTTGGTCGTGAGGCTTGAACTCTGGGCCTGGGCATTGTTCCTTAGCTCTTTAGCTCAAGGTGAGCACTCTACCACTAGAGCCACAGCACCACTTCCAGTTTTCTGGTGGTTAGTTGGAGATAAGAGTCTCATGGACTTTCCTTCCCTGGCTGGCTTTGAGCTGTGATCCTCAGATCTCAGCCTCCTGAGTAACTAGGATTCCAAGCCTGAGCCACCAGCACTGGGCTATCAATACAGTTTTACACATTGATTTTTACTTACATTACATACATATTTTCATGTGACTAACATGATCCAAATAAGATATTCAAAAAATCTAGCAACATGGTTAACAATTACCATAAAGACATTCTTTATTATCTATTTTGATTTTTTAAAGTAGAAGTAGAAAAATGATGATCCCATTTCCAAGGCCAGAGAATTTTTGACAATAACATTTCATATGCCGTCAGTGAAAACTGTTTTTCATTGTGAAACTCAACAAAATAATATTTTCATATTTAATGGCCTCATGTACATAGATTCAAATATATTTAAACAATTATCTAACATATATCATATATGTTAATGCTATAAATGGTACCGTGATGTCCCATTTTCTTTTTTTTAATTATCTTTAAGTAGTAGTACAGAGTAGTTGTCACTCAACAATTCAGTAATAACACAGTGAATCTTGATCAATGTCACCCATTTCAACATTCTCACCCACCCCTCAACCCACCTCTTCCCTCACTTTTCTTAATTATTTAGGATATGCATTGAGGTTTTAGATTTAACAAAGCAGTTTATGTATATAATGCATCTTGATCTGTATCATCCTTTCAACACATTAACCTTTGATTTAGCCTTTCTCTACTATTTTGGTCCTCTGTAATTATCAGCCTGTGATACAGACAGGATAATTGAGATTGCTCTTTCAGAATATTGATACATTTTAATAAAGTTAACACATGTTAACAAACTGATAATCTGTAAAGCTGAACAAGTCACATTCCCATTGTTAGTGTAGGAGCATGCCAGTTTCCACTTGCTTTGGTAATGCTGGTAATATGAATAGGATTGCATTTCCATGGAAGAGATGTAGAAATTTTAACCCAAGTTCCTTAGAATATGACCTTCTTTGGAAATGGCATCAGTATAAATACTGGTGAAGATGAGGTCATATGAAGTAAGGTGATCGCCTAACTCAATATGAACACTGTTCTTATGAAAAGGGAAACTTTGAAAGAAAGATACAGAAGCAAACAGATACAAAAATAGAGACAGAGTCAGAGACACAGAAAAAGAGAGACACAGAGACAAAGACACAGACAGTCAGAGAAGGATTTTCCTGCATATTATACAAGGAGCCTAGAACTGTTGAAACCACAGTTTCAGACTTCTGATCACCAAACACCTGAGGTAATTATTATTGTGTTGCCCCATCCAATTACTTCGTTATGGCAGTACTTTGCTGTGCTATGTTATGATTGTTAGCAAACCACAGTATCAGGATATTGTAATTTTAAAACTTTATGATAAGGCAATTAATCTATGTACATGGTGTGAAATGAATAGTGATCAGTTTTTGAGCATTTCATAGGTCCTAAGCTGTATTGTATGGACATGAGTCAAGTCAGGTTTATTGATAAAGAAATAATGGATAAAACAGATTACCTCAGGTGATTGACCCTATACTTATACAATTGTGGTTGTACTGATTTTTTCCCTTAAGGCGTCACTTAAATTCTCCCTATTCTGAATAACAGTGCACAACTCATTTCATTTACCTCTTACCTTTTCTCTCTCCACTAGGCTCATGTGAAGTCTTCCTAGCACCATATCATAGTTACCTGTCAATTCTTTTGCTTCCAATCTTCATCTCCTTCTTGCTTCTGATATCTAAGGGCTAAAAGTTTGTTTTCCACTAACAAAACAGATTAAAATGTATGTTTTGTTCTTGGGAGAGCTAGAATAATGGCTCTTCAAAGATGTCCACATCCTTAATCCTAGAACCTCTTGGTGTGTAAGTTTATATGGCAGAGGCGGATTGAGGTCACAGATGGAATCAGTTCCTTATCGGCTGACTTCAACTTGTAGTACTTAGCCTGGATTTTCCTGGTAAGCCCAGTGTAATCATACAGGGGAAGCAGGAAGATAAGAGCCAGAGAGTAAGTGATTAGAAGGTACTTTGCTACTAGCTTCAAAGAAGAGAAATGGAGTCTAAGCCATAAAATGCAAGAGCCTGCCTGCTCCCTAAACTTACTAGGAAAAAATGCAGCTTTGTCACCGATGTACTCAGGTGTCAAAGCCTCATACTACAAAATTAGTATGCATGATTTCTTTAGGTATCATTTAATTTTTTTTTCTGTGCTAGTTAGTATTTGGGTTGGAACTCAGAGCCTCTCAGTTTTGCTTGGCTTTTTCACTCAAGGCTGTGCTGTACTGTTTTACTTACTCATTAAAAATTGTAATATAGAACCTTAGTTTTACCACATTGAATCTCATTTTAAGTCTGCTAACCTACAGAAGAGTAAGGGTTTAGCTTTGTTTAAAGTAGCATCTTTTTTTAAAAAAATTTTTTGTGAACATACTGTACAGAGGGGTTACAATTACATGGGCAAGATAATGAGTACATATCTTATCAAGCATTGCAGCCTCCTCCTTTGTTTCCCCTTC